GGCAATACAGCATAAAGCTAGCATCATTGCAATGCAGTTTTGTACAGAATACTATAGCTTTCTGCCATTTCTTGCAATTAGCAATATTATTGAGTACTCTAATATTATCACAAATCCTAGTGAAATTGAAAGGATTACGATCTCATATAAGGGTAGTCAAAATATTGATGTTCATATAGAGACGAAAGTACTCTCGCGAGAGGTGAGGGGTTTTTGGGCACTTTCGTTGACCAAAAAACATTGATTTTTCAGATTTGAAATACTAAAAATAATTGTACTTTCATGCCTTTCCTGGCACAATGTTCTGATAAAAAGGCTTGTTTTCAATAGTTCCAGAGCCTTTTTTGTTTCAATAGGTCCCCAATATCGGTAAATAAGACAATAATCCATTCTTTTTTCAATAGATTTTCCATCCTCCTTTTTGAAGAGCTGATTGCAGTCAAATTGCAAACGTGTGTAAATTCTGAAGTCTATGTTTTTTAAGTGACCTAGACTTTCATCTAGAGGGGGTGGTGTTTTTTCTCCATATGAACATCGATATTTTGACCCTGCCCTTAAGATTGAAGCTGAAGAGAAGTTGAAGCTAAATTAAGCTCACAGCATAATAGAGTATTTTCAGTGTAAATATTAAGTGCAGTATACGTGGATTCTTAGCCTTTACATATTAGTATTAAGTAGTGCAATGTTATCATTAGAAATGAAAACTTTTATTGAAAGTGTTATATATTCTAAACCAAAGGCAACGACAAAGGATCTGTACATAGCCAGCTTTTGAAATATATTGGGGTAGCTAGGTAGACATGAGGGGTTATATCATTTAGTGATGACTGTGGTGATTTCAGAAATGAAGTCCCGATTAACTTGATATATAAAAGTCCATGCTTTGTTGAATTTAGACTATCGAACAACTTTTTTATCGCACTTTGAAAAAGTGCTATATTGTCGTCGTCTTGTGCTGTTGGGCGGGCGGGCGGGCGTGTGGGCGGGTGGGTGGGCGGGCGGGCTTGTGGGCGGGCGGGCGGCACATAAACCAAATCTTGTCATCAAATTTCCAGGATAACTGCTCACCTGTTCAACTTGAAATTTTTACAGATGCAAGAGCAGACTAGTACCAAGATCCGATTCGGTTAAGGGCATGCTGGGTAAACTAAGTGGCGGCCATTTTGAATTTTTCAACAAATCTTGTCATCAAAATTCCAGGAAAACCACTTATCCGTTCAACTTGAAATTTTTACAGATGCAAGAGCAGACTATTGCCAAGATCTGATTAGGTTTTGGGTATGCTGGCTGAATTACATGGTGGCCATTTTGAATTTTTCAATTTGGCGGCCATTTTGAATTTTTCAACTTGCTCCAAATTGACCAATTTTTTTTTTTAAAAACATCTACAAGTTCTCAGAAGTTCAATCTGACCTTAGATTTCAGATTTGACCTTTCATTCACCTTCAGTGACCTTGAAAAGGTCAAAAAAGTTGATTTTCTAAATTGATATTTTGGATTTAAATTTAGGTCAGCTTAATTACAAAACACCTACTGAGGTCTGAAAAAGTGAAATTTTCAAGGTCGAAGGTCAAGGTCATTAAACTAGGTCACAGATTTGACCTTTCATTCACCTTCAGTGACCTTGAAAAGGTCAAAAAGTTGATTTTCTAAATTGATATTTTGGATTTAGATTTAAGTCAGCTTAATTACAAAAGACCTACTGAGGTCTGAAAAGTGAAATTTTCAAGGTCGAAGGTCAAGGTCATTAAACTAGGTCACAAATGATGTTATCCAAGTTTCTCAAAGTTTGAGACCACAAATCAATTCTTGTCATCAAAATTCCAAGAAAACGCTTACCTGTTCAACTTGAAATTTTTACACATGCAATAGCAGACTAGTGCCAAGATCTGATTAGGTTTAGGGCATGCTGGGTAAACTATGTGGTGGCCATTTTGAATTTTTCAACAAATCTTGTCATCAAAATTCCAGGAAAACCACTTTTCCGTTCAACTTGAAATTTTTACAGATGCAAGAGCAGACTATTGCCAAAATCTGATTAGGTTTTGGGTATACTGGCTGAATTACATGGTGGCCATTTTGAATTTTTCAATTTGGCGGCCATTTTGAATTTTTCAACTTGCTCTAAATTGACCAATTTTTAAAAAAACATCTACAAGTTCTCAGAAGTTCAAATCTGACCTTAGATTTCAGATTTCACCTTTCATTCACCTTCAGTGACCTTGAAAACGTCAAAAAAGTTGATTTTCTAAATAGATATTTTGGATTTAAATTTAGGTCAGCTTAATTACAAAACACCTACTGAGGTCTGAAAAAGTGAATTTTTCAAGGTCGAAGGTTATCAAATTAGGTCACAAACAATGTTATCTAAATTTTCCCAAAGTTCAAGACTACAAATAAATTCTTGTCATAAAAATTGCAGGAAAACCGCTAACCTTGTCAACTTAAAATGTTTACAGATGCAAGAGCAGACTAGTGCCAAGGTCTGATTAGGTTTTGGCCATGCTGGGTAAATTGCATGGTGGCCAGTTTGCTCTTCAAAGTGCGATATTTATCACTGTGTGTCTTGTTACTTGAAATATTGTTAAAGAAAAATGACTAACAAATTGAACAGTGCAGGTCACAAATGTTCAGTCATCTTTATGTATCAGTATGTGGAATATGTGGAAGAATTTTTTTGTAATTATATCTGATCTGATGGTTTATTGTGGTCATTGTTAAAAGAACGAAATCACAAAGATTTCAGGACAGAATAAAACTAGTGTAATATATTTGCCCTAGATCATTTAATTGTTGTCTTTTTATGATTCCAATTTAACAAACCAGACAAACAAATACATGTAATTTTATTTTTTGGTCTAAAATGTAAAACTAAATGTAGTCATAGATCTGCGATTATAGACCAGTGAATCAATTGTAATTATTTATGTTCACATCACATGTCATTAGAATCAGCGGTGTTGATCATGATTCAGCCAACTCTCTTTATTTCTCTGCTAGTTACAGGTCTTGATGCCAGTAGAAATATCACTTTAAGCTTAGGGAAAGAATTGAAAAACCCTTGGACCAAGGATGGGGTTTGAAGTGTTCCATTCTAAAAAATCAATTTTGACTTTTGAGAGACCCAAATACTGCCTTTATGTAGCATGTACATGTACAGATTGACACTTTCCAGAAGAATAATTGAACTTATAACAGACATTGGACAACTGATGTATTTCATTCATACAGGTTGGATATTTGCAAACATATTGGAATTTTTTGGGTAAAGTAACCATCATTTACAAATAAGTTGAAAGTACATGTAGACATTTGTTGCCTAGTCAAATCAGCTGATTCTTAGTTTTATGAAATAAAACAAACAAAAACATTACAAATAAAATCTGATTTTTATATTTAGTTTATTCCAAGTCATAAATATAATGTGCCAACATGGTCAAGGAGTTCAGATCTCTAATACAAAGAAGTATATTACATAAAATGCTATACTGAACAAATACTACATTTTAAATATTAAAATGTTCAGTCTTTCATCCCCCAAATGCTGGTCAGTAGCCACCAATCAACCAGTCTGGTCACTCATCCCCCATTCTCTGGTCACTCATGATCATCCCCCATTCCCTGCTCACACATCCCCCAAATGCTGGTCAGTAGCCACTATTCAACCAGTCTGATCACTCATTCCCCATTCTCTGGTCACTCATGATCATCCCCCATTCCCTGCTCACACATCCCCCAAATGCTGGTCAGTAGCCACCAATCAACCAGTCTGGTCACTCATCCCCCATTCTCTGGTCACTCATGATCATCCCTAATTCCCTGCTCACACATCCCCCAAATGCTGGTCAGTAGCCACCAATCAACCAGTCTGGTCACTCATCCCCCATTCTCTGGTCACTCATGATCATCCCCAATTCCCTGCTCACACATCCCCCAAATGCTGGTCAGTAGCCACCAATCAACCAGTCTGGTCACTCATCCCCCATTCTCTGGTCACTCATGATCATCCCCAATTCCCTGCTCACACATCCCCCAAATGCTGGTCAGTAGCCACTATTCAACCAGTCTGATCACTCATCCCCCATTCCCTGCTCACACATCCCCCAAATGCTGGTCAGTGGTCACACATCCTCTGGTCACTTATCCAAAATTCTCCTGTCACCCACCCCCATTCTCTGGTCACTCATCCCCCATTCTCTGGTCACCCATCCCTAATTTTCTTCTCTGGCCACCCATCCCCCATTCTTTAATCACTCATCCCCCATTTTCTGGATAGTACAAAAATCCAAGGTGGATTTAACACAATAGGAATTATACAATATCACAATATGAAACGTATTTTGAACAAATCTAACACAATTATACAAACTACTTACATGATGTATCTGTTTTTGACTTTCAATTTCTAATCCAAACATTAAAGAAAAAACAATAATTCAGTGTTGATTATTCAGTTGAGACTGTATATTTGGAAGTAAATAAAGCTATAGGCCTATACATTAAAAAAATAATCAAAAATATATTACTATTTTGGCGTAATCTGTTAAACTAAAAGCTTAATTTTTTAAGTTCAATTTTCGTTTACCACCGAATTAAGCATCATCCATCCTTTGTCTTATCTACATTATATGATATATTTTGTAATAAGTGTGAAAGGGAGATAATCAATTGATGACTATTTAATCTTAATATCCAATAAACAAGTATTTTGTCATGATTGTATCTCCCAATTTTCTTTCAAAACTGTTCTCTACAGGATTTTTAGTGCAAAATTCTCATTTTCATGATTTTTCTAATTTTCAAGTGGATGCAAATGGATTTTCAGGTGGGTGCAAAGGTTTTTTAAAATTTCAGGTGGGTGCTGCGCCCACTCGTTTTAATCCTGGAGAGATCATTGCAAAATATTATACCAAACATACCCATTTAGTCATATTTATAGTATAAAGCCATCTGAAGTAGTGAATGCCCTAAAAACCAGTCTACTGGTCATTGCCAGGTTGCTTTTGATACGGACCAGTTGATTTTTTCACTAGGTATAACAATGTAACTGGTCAGTGATGCTGTAATGTCAGCTCTCAGATCCTTAGGACAAACACTGATCTGAAGTGATCAAATTGCACATTTCCCCCATACTATATCTTATATTATGACACCTTATCAAGAATTGGATTGAATTACAGTATTATATAAAAAATATGTACAGCTAAAGTTCCACAAATTCTATACTATACTGAACTACACTCTACCAATGTTCTAATTGTACTAATGGGAAGGTCTACTTGGTTAAGTTGGTTAACTGAAAATCAAGGTCTTCTAGGCTAAGATGAGGGAACATAGGTATATATTCACTCTTCCACAGATAAATAAATCAAATACAATAGACAGGCTGTGGAACTAAAGTCTCATATATACAACTTTATGTGACATACATAAAACATTGACAAAATTTAAACACTGAAAAGCTGTAAATTTCCATAATAATCTCCTTCAGACAATTGAAATCTCCCCAAAGAAAATATATTAATATAGCTTCTATATGTACATATTCCTGATGTTATTTCAATAAGGGCTTAAAGATGAAGACCCCTCTCATCTCCTACTGACTAATTGGAGAATATATCATAAGGTGGGTCTCCATCTTTAAACATATTCCATGCTCCTCTTATAAATTGAGTTAGGAATTTAAAGAGGCTCTCGTGTGTAAAGCATTTCTCAATCACAACCTCCTAAGAGTTAATTTCCTCATACATATCTCTACAACATCTAGCTGCCGTTCAACAAGTCTTAACTCTTCCATTCACTTCAACTTGTACAGTATCTTTGTACAAACTTTTCTGTGCATTTTTCAAGTCTTTCTCAAGAAGGATTCATCATGTGTCATGTTGTGATTTTCCTGTACAAGTGATACAACATTAATAAATACGATCAAGTAGTTGCTCTCAGTAATATGCAATATCCACCAATATTATGTACTGTTTTCTTGAATCTCAGATCATTTATATAGTTTTCAAGTGAGACACTTCTGCATTTACTTTTGTTGACTATCCTTTGAAAAGTACATACACATAGGTAGCTACACATAGACTTGTTCGGTCGATTTATTTCAACAGGGACTTCCACAGATCGAATTGTCTGCAAATAGCTCACTTTTATCTACAGATACATTAACTGCTCTTGAAGAAGGAGAGTAAGAAAATGAATATGTAGACAACATCAAGGTAAAGTTGTAAAGCCCCGTAGATGTACTCCTCCTGGCTGAGTTCATGTTTACGTCCTCCAACAATTTGTTGTGTATCAAACACCAGGAACTGAAATAGAGAAATATAAAGCAATAGTACTAATTTAATAAATGCGTTCTTGGTTATTAAATGCAATCTGAGCTGAGCTGCCTTTACATTTTCTAGCTCATGGAGTATATTTGGACCTTAAAGTGATTCTTTGAAGTAGTAGCCATTTTCTGCCAAAATGTGTACAAGCAATTTCATGAAATATATTTCAACTTTCGAAACATGCTTTTAAGACACCAAATTTGGATTAAATGAAGATCTCATAGAACTAAAATTAACCTATTGTATTGTATTGTATTTTGTTTACCACCAATGAAGGTGAGCAATACCTCTTGGGTATGTCCCGTATATATACGGTCGTAATTTACGTAATTAACATGGAAGATAGACCCAGAAACCCCTCCTTGAAGGAGCCCTGTGTTCTTTTATGTGCACTTATACATAGACATGTAAGTACACACCACAGCCTTCTGTATGAGTTGTGGACCACTCAGTCAAACACCCTTGTAAAACCATTTGAAATTGAGGAGACACATTAAAAGTGAGGCATTTTTAATCCATACATTAAAAACTCGAGCCTTCAATTATAGGATCTCAATCCTCATTCCTTTAATGTTCTGTACATACCAATGAAAAGACCAGAGCCCCCAGTCCAGCATACACACAGTTCAAGATCTGAAAACAACACAAATACAATAGAAAACGCATCATTTGCTCATGCATATCAATGGTAAAATTATTAAGCGATATGTATAATACTTGAATAACGCAAAACCTGTAAGTAAAATGTACACTTTTTACATTCCATTGAACTTAATCTGTCCAGTATTGATTAAAACAGGTGCCCAGAGTTGAAGTTTTATACTGTCTTCGAGTCCAGTTGAAAATTCATTAAAACCCATTCAAAAAAGGGAGCAATATAAATATTTTTTGAGAAAATAATTTTTCTTACTTGAGAAAAATTAACAATACTAGCATACAAAAGTGAATATAATATTACATTCCACTTGAAAAATACTTACATGATTGTAGCCTATGGTGAACATAACAATCATACAAGCGATGCCAAAGAAGAACAACACCATGACGAGGGCAAACAGCAACCCAGAGCACAATGTGAAGTCAATCTGAATTAACAACAAGACACACAGTGATAAATATCGCACTTTGAAGAGCAAACTGGTCTACCACGCAATTAACCCAGCATGGCCAAAACTTAATCAGACCTTGGCACTAGTCTGCTCTTGCATCTGTAAACATTTCAAGTTGACAAGGTTAGCGGTTTTCCTGCAATTTTGATGACAAGAATTTATTTGTAGTCTTGAACTTTGGGAAAATTTAGATAACATTGTTTGTGACCTAATTTGATGACCTTCGACCTTGAAAATTTCACTTTTTCAGACCTCAGTAGGTGTTTTGTAATTAAGCTGACCTAAATTTAAATCCAAAATATCAATTTAGAAAATCAACTTTTTTGACCTTTTGAAGGTGAACGAAAGGTCAAATCTGAAATCTAAGGTCAGATTTGAACTTCTGAGAACTTGTAGATGTTTTTTAAAAAAAAATTGGGTCAATTTGGAGCAAGTTGAAAAATTCAAAATGGCCGCCAAATTGAAAAATTCAAAATGGCCACCATGTCATTCAGCCAGCATACCCAAAACCTGATCAGATCTAGGCAATAGTCTGTTCTTGCATCTGTAAAAATTTCAAGTTGAACGGATAAGTGGTTTTCCTGGAATTTTGATGACAAGATTTGTTGAAAAATTCAAAATGGCCACCACGTAGTTTACCCAGCATGCCCTTAACCTAATCAGATCTTGGCACTAGTCTGCTATTGCATGTGTAAAAATTTCAAGTTGAACAGGTTAGCGGTTTTCTTGGAATTTTGATGACAAGAATTGATTTGTAGTCTCAAACTTTGAGAAACTTGGATAACATAATTTGTGACCTAGTTTAATGACCATGACCTTCGACCTTGAAAATTTCACTTTTTCAGACATCAGTAGGTCTTTTGTAATTAAGCTGACCTAAATTTAAATCCAAAATATCAATTTAGAAAATCAACTTTTTTGACCTTTTCAAGGTCACTGAAGGTGAATGAAAGGTCAAATCTGTGACCTAGTTTAATGACCTTGACCTTCGACCTTGAAAATTTCACTTTTTCAGACCTCAGTAGATGTTTTGTAATTAAGCTGACCTAAATTTAAATCCAAAATATCAATTTAGAAAATCAACTTTTTTGACCTTTTGAAGGTCCCTGAAGGTGAACGAAAGGTCAAATCTGAAATCTAAGGTCAGATTTGAACTTCTGAGAACTTGTAGATGTTTTTTAAAAAAAATTGGGTCAATTTGGAGCAAGTTGAAAAATTCAAAATGGCCGCCAAATTGAAAAATTCAAAATGGCCACCATGTCATTCAGCCAGCATACCCAAAACCTAATCAGATCTTGGCTATAGTCTGCTCTTGCATCTGTAAAAATTTCAAGTTGAACGGATAAGTGGTTTTCCTGGAATTTTGATGACAAGATTTGTTGAAAAATTCAAAATGGCCGCCACGTAGTTTACCCAGCATGCCCTTAACCTAATCAGATCTTGGTACTAGTCTGCTCTTGCATCTGTAAAAATTTCAAGTTGAACAGGTAAGCAGTTATCCTGGAAATTTGATGACAAGATTTGGTTTATGTGCCGCCCGCACGCCCGCCCAACAGCACAAGACGACGACAATATAGCACTTTTTCAAAGTGCGATAAAAAGTAAATGAATTAAAACCCATATATACGCACCATTTTCATATCTTCATATTGTTTGGATTTTAAATGGGCAATGTCTAATTCTGATCCTAAAAAAACTAAAGACGACTCTCCTTATTCAGTCTTTTTACACGAGCAGTTTTTTCAAAATTTGATAATTACTGAAAATAGTTTATACTATTTGGGTCTAGATGTGGCAAGTTACAAATCATGAAGGATAATTGTGGTAATTTAAGATCTAAATAACACATAATAACAAGTTACAAAAGTATTCTACCTTCGTCTGGATGGCAAAGATGGATATAGCCAGGCAGACTGCAGCAGTTATACCAACTGCTATCATGACAGACTCATGGTTGTAGTAGCTGCTAATGGTGCCAACCATGTAGGAAAATGCTAACGTCTGTAAAAGAAATACGAGCAATTTAATAGTTATACACGTACGGTATTATCACATGCAAATGGGTATTTAAGAATTGCAATGTGTCAAACCCATATACATGTACATGAATGTAATATAAAAGGATGGAAAAAGCCATAACACCTAGGAAACTGAAACTCACACTGATATAATCAACATTAATTGCAACGTATAACCCATCTGATTTACAAACACTATAAATAATACTGAACGAAATATTGTAAAATAAAAGCTTGCAAAATTATTTTAATTTTGAATCGCGAAACATAAAATGAACAGTACTGTACTTACAAACACAGCTAGGCATATGAAGTTACCGGGGTACTTCCTGCGAACTTTGGGACAGCAAACCAGTACTATATATGTCACAAAGAAAGTGGCACTGAAACAATACATGAGAATGTACATTCAAATACACAAAACTATAATGGCTACACGACAATGATATATTATAAACATTTATTTTTCAGGCATTTTTCTTTCTTTCTATACCAGAGCTTGAACTTTAGTAATTGATTGTTTGTATGGCTCAGTATGACTGGATATGTATTTGGGAGTTTGAACTGCTATGGTAATATTATACTGGTTGCTAGCTACACAATCTAAATAGATCACTTACTAAGAAACATAGTAGAACCAAGAGTTCTGCCGTACCCAAATCTTTGTAGGTAAACTGAAATGAAATGTAAAAACTTGATTTAAGAATTTTGGAAAAATAATGAAAAAATTGAAAAAACAATAAAGACACAGACAACAGATCTGTTTAGATGTTGAACCAATATATTTGTAGCCTCCAAAATCTGGAGCACGATTTTAGTATAAACACACTAGTCTACAGTATGGAAAATGTTTATTTTATGAACTTGTCAAAAATGAACACAAGTAGACGACTAGCATATGGTGTTTGCATTGAGAGGGGTTTCAGATTCAAAGGCTTGGATGAAGAGGTACTAATCTATAAGATCCTAAGCTCAGGCATGTGTGTTTTAATTAACAACTTACTGGAATAGGAAAAAGCAGATAACTCCAACTGTGACGAGCAACTGGGCAGTTAGAATCAGATACACCTAAAAGCATTTCACATAACGGCATGAACACTGTTTTAGAGTGGACATCCAAAATAACAAGACATTACTATGGATCCTTCTAATATGAAATTAAATACAATTAAATGATTAATGCACCAACTTGAGATTAAGGAAATATGCTTGTACCCATTGCAAAAATCAATTGCACCCACTTGAAAATGAGCAATATCATGAACAATATATTTACACCAACTTTGAAGGGAAAATGCGTGGGATGTGCTATATGTTTCTAGATTTTTTGGGTTAAGGTAAGAGGTATGCAAGTGATAAGCCAGTTATTATTGTTGACGTTTACCTTTCTAATAAAGGCTCTGCGTATGGCTTTATCTGACCAATCACCCCTTGTGAAGTCATCCTCATCAGACCAAGGCTTGGGTTGGCCTGCCTCTGGGTCAACTGGTTGTCCTCCAACTGGCTGTGGAGGGGGCTGATAGCCTGATGGCATATGAGGTTGTGCCCCACCATATCCTGGTGCTGGCATTGTATTGGGAGGAGGACGGAATGGCATGGGCATAGGGGGTGGCCCTTGTCCAGGGGCACCTTGACCACCCTGTGGAGGATAACCTGAAATAATAACAACACACAAACATTAACATGTATGCGCATGTTATGAACACATATATATCTCAAGAACTTTGCATTAACATTTCTTACTATTTTCATATTTACATTTTATGTGAAAATGTAGCCATACTTTCAAAGTAAACATATGTTAAAGTTTGTTATTTTTGGAGAGTAAAGTATATGACAAATCACAGGGGTACTTTCAAAAGTAATTTACTAAAAGATACACCAAATATTCAAAATGCTGATATATCCCCTTTTTTCAAATGCTGTAACTTAAATAATCCCAACCCTTCCAAAAGGTCAAAATCATGTACAGTACTATATAAAATATTATCAATTACCATTGATCATTTATGTCTACATGTAGTCTGAACAGTTTGAGATGTTCCCTTAGGTTATGGGTGTGTCGTGTATTAATATAACACTGAAGTGACACATCAAACAAACATTAGTGCCGCACCAACATATATTACTTCGTAACACACATAAAAACATTAAACACAGAGACTGAATAAAGATTTTGCTAAAAAGTAAATAAAAAAATTCACCTTGTAAAAAAACATGTCAGAGAAGAAGGAAGAAAAATAGATTTTAAAAAATCTCGGCTTTCTAAGTATCTAGCATTTAAAATATCAAAATAAACTAATCAAGTAAAAGTATTTTAAGCGTTGCTGATATTCTATTGATTCATTGGGATAATATCGTATATCTGTTCTCAGATCAGATATAATTAGCATGTTATGAAAATTATGATAATATAGTTTCTTCAAGCATAACACGCAAGCATTGTGAGATATAAAAGCCTTGCATCCAGAGTGTCCCTTTGCAAGGCAAAGATGGACTGAGTATCAGAATGCAAACAGGCATATGCAAGTTTCAGGAATAAATTGTACACTTTGTACATATGAATGCATCACTTCTTGATTAATGTGTCACATTACATGAGTGAAGTGACAGCTTTTGTGAAGGTAGTGTCCTATTACTTACCTGGCATTAGAGGAATTGCTGCCTCCCCTGGGCCTTCATAAGGACTTGTATCTCTGACTGCAGGCCATAGAAAATAACCAAACTAGCCCATAATTACATGCAGATTGAACATTCCAATCAACACTACAACTAAAATACCTGACAATGGAGAGGTTACATTTCAGAATTGTGAAATAATTGACTGATTTGAGATGGGAGTATTGACTTGGAAAAGCACTTCTTCAAAAAGGCTGTAACTAATATTATGAGAATTATAGCTCCATTTTCAGGTAATGGATTAAAATTTTAAAATGTTTGTTCTGCAAAATATAGGGATTTCTTGAGAATGATCATTGAGAAAGTTTTTGGCCATCAAAATATCAAATATCAGGTTATTATGGTCTTTAAACACCATCTCTCTCCAATCTCAACTCTAATCATGTTTTGGTAAAGAGTCTAGGGAGGGGGATTCAACATTACATCTTCCCAACAAGGGAATATAAAATCAGTTCTGAAATCGTATCTCCATTATTTCAGGTAAAAGATTGAAATGTACAAGTTAAACTAAAGTCAAGCAATTATTTTAAGCAAGAGTTAAAATTCTGTTATTCCCAAGTATTAAAATAATTATAATCACTTATAACTGAATAAAACTTCTTTTCGTTCTTGGCAAAATTTAATATAGAACCTAAGTAGTACCCTAAGTAGTACCTTAAGTAAAAGGTATTTCCCATTTGTAATAAAAAGTAGAAATAAGATACACATATCAAAAATGAATCACAAAACATTGATGAGAACAAAAAATTTCTAAGAAATCAGTTACAAATCTTTGAAAATCACCTAAATCAACAAAGTCCATCTAGATCTACTAGAATGTAAAGAACTGAATATATTTAGGTGGTTCCAAATACATTAGCACAGAATGTTGCCTCAGAATGCTGCCAATAAATTATTAATAGTACAGAGTATGTGTTATTGTTAGAATGGCAAGCATAGAAATAAATATAGCATAGAGCAATGTACATGTTGAATCATGTTTATCTTTGGGCTGCATCGGGTGTTGCCAATGTAAACAGAACACCCTGAATAAATGTCATATGATAAACTTTAAGTTCTTTCCTATTAATGAGGTCGTATCCAATGTTCTTTGTTTGACGTACAATAAAAAATGTTTTCTTCTTCCCTTCTATTTTCCATCTTTTCTCCATTCCAAAACATGACATGGCAAGACAGGATATTGCAAGCATGCAGACAAACATGTGATTTGAAATAGGAAATCATTCTCTTGTTATTGCATTTTAAAATCTAAAATAGTCTTGCATCAAACCCTTGTAAGCCCCATCATTACCTCACCTGAAGTGGGTAAGGGGGTCCAAAGATTTGATGTAAAACTAAATCAAGAATGAATGCCTTCTTTCTACAAAGGAACTCCCAGAGTCTGCAGCAGATGATGTTTGAGGAGCAGAATTAAGCATGTTAAAAGATATTTGGTCAAAAAGTATGAAATGAATATGTACTACAAACTTGATGAAACAGATACAGTAATTGACAAATGTCTGTACTGATAGTATTACATATAATCAAACCAGAACAACAGCAACGCCAAAGCGTAGTGAATCCCATCGAACAGAAATGGCTGGCATTTTTACAAACAAAATATATAGCAAATATCATAAAATAACACCCATAAGAAAGGCCACCATTTGAAATCGCTCAACTACTTTTCAAGTTATAGTAAATAAAAAACGTAAAAAATGGTGGCCATTATTCAAAATGGCCGCCTTCTACCCAAAGTGTCATTAGACAGTGTGCCATGCTTATAGTATTCACATATAAAATATGAACAAAATCGCTCAACAATTCACATACCAAATATGAACAAAATCGCTCCACTACTTTTTGACTTACAGTAAAAAATGTTAAATAAAACACGTAAAAATGTACCCAATGTCTAATGACATTTTGGGTAGTAGGTGGCCATTTTGAAAAATGGCTGCCATTTTTACGTGTGTTATTTTACATTTTTTTCTACCAAAAATGTCATTAGACATTGTGACATGATTAAAGTATTCACATACCAAATATGAACAAAATCGCTCCACTACTTTTCAAGTTACAGCAAAATTTGTAAAATGATGTGCAAAGGCGACCATTTTTCAAGATGGCTGCCGTGTATTTCTTCTGTATTTACATTTCTAGCTTAATCAATGTCCTATATAACTTTTTTATATTTAAAACATATTACTATTACAGTTTTATATGCAGTACCTTAATTACTGTAAAATCGGCACTAAAAAGGCCGCCATTTTTAAATGAGCGGCCATTTTGAAAATCGGTTTTCGAGCAGAACTTCTACCCCTATTGGGTATATGTGTACAAAATACAGTAGAACCTGCTAAGTGGAACACCTCTATAAGTGGAACACCTCGCAAGTGGAACGCTTTTTCAAAGTCCCACTTTTAAAACCCATTGACTTAATGTTAATTGAACCTCTGTAAGTGGAACACCTCCAAACTTGAACAGTGAACACCCCATATTGAAAAATTAACCTGCTAAGTGGAACAGTCAATTTTCCATAAATTTCAATATTGATACTTATGTAAAAAGAATTAACCTTCTACAGTGATATCTGGGTATGAAAACAGGTAATAACATGATAATTGGCAAATTAGGATCACCATATGGCAAATTGGATTAACCTCCTGTAGAGATCAACATGTGATGCTACCACTAATTAATTTGATAATTTGCAAATTAGGATCTCATAAGATTATCATTCATCAAATTGGATTAACCTCCTGTAGAGATGGACATGTGATGCTACCTCTAATTAATACCCCTTGCTGTTTGTTTCAAACTTGATAAGTAAGATTAAGAATGTCAGTTAAAAACAAGTGAATTATTAGCAATAGGAACAAGTCTTTAAAACTTAATTGCCAAATCGTTGTGCCTGAGACTGGCAGAATGAGGAGGATTAAGAATGTCAGAAAACATTTTTGGCAGAATGAGGAGGATTACGAATGTCAGATACCTTTTTGAGTAAAACAAATGGATAGTTAGTGGTATCAGGCTATATAGCTGCCTTGCAACAGTGCAATGAACAGAGAATCAGATTTCCGGTGATACATAATAAACCCTATATTTGATCTTGTGTGTTCTTTAAATCTCCGCGAACCCAAAACCTCCGTAAGTGGAACACCTCCTAAGTGGAACGCTTTTTGGCAGAACGGAGGGTGTTCCACTTACACAGGTTCTACTGTATGAACAAAATCGGGCCAACAGTATTTGAGTTATTGCCCGGACGGACTGACGGACGTACGGACGTACGTACGGACAGAGGCGTTTCCTATAGCCCTCCAAACTTCGTTCGATGGGATAATAAAAAATGCAAGCATGATAAAATAAATTTAACTTCATACATACTAATCATAGACCAAAATAGAGATACTATAGCCATTTAAACTCAAAGCTGAATTAGAAGACTGCATATAACAGAACAATAAGAAAGTGGAACTCTTAGTATTCTATGGCTTGTTAGTAATACTATACATATACCATGATAGTAGTCAGTCTTGCTCCAAGCCCCTGTTTGCCCCCCCAACTATATTTTCAATGAGAGGGAGGGGGGCAGAAACTTGATGCAAGACTAGTTATCAATCTCCCTCTACCATATAAGTAATTTCACAATAAGCGATACATGCTTAAGATTTCATCCGTACGGTAATAAAATTTTACCTGGTTGTGCTGAGTAACCGCCTGGTTGTGCTGGGAAGCCTGTGCCACCCGGTTGTCCAGGATATCCAGGCCCTGGCATACCCACAGCTGCATTGTATGTGGGAGGGGGAGGTGCTGAGGCACTCATTATCACTGATCAAGGTTGTAAACAGCCTGTGAGCCTAGAATAGGATTAGCAAATTTAAATAGAGATATTCACACTGTTCCAAACAAAACAACTCATAATCATATATGTTCTATTGTAAGTTTGGGCATTGATTTAGGAGCACTACATATACAATATGACAATGCATAAATGTGAACCTGCCAGTGTAAATGACACAGTTTTAACTTTAATGCATCCTGGACCATAAATGTATATGCATGCAGAGTACAATGTACAATGTATAGCCATAACATTTAATGTACAGGTCAAAAATATAATTCAATTCTCTGCAAAGGCACTCTATATAGGCTTACAGGTTACATAATATATATACATGTATAAGTCTTTCTAGAATTCTGATGATTCCCACATGAGAGCTACCAAAAGTTCAGCCATTTTTAAAGTTCATTCGGAAATCTCAGGACGCTATAACTTTGTGAAAATGTACACTTGGGAATAAAGACGAGTCCTGATCCACACAGAAGCAGCTGAAAACCTGCAGACTTTCACAAATGGAATATGGAGATGTAGGGAACATTTGGAGGTATAAAGTTCTATATATGTTACATAATGAGCAGTCATGTATACATTGTTATCACTAATTGGTATGTTGAATCAAATGTTGTACAAGTTATTGTTATATTGATTATTTGGTATGTTTCACCCAGTTTTGTCAGTGGTTGTACTTAAGTTCTTTGCGTCATGTCGTACACTCCCAGGTGCCAGTTGTTGTTCTCATTGTCATATGTTGTTGCAAAGTCATGGTAATACATATTGCCATGTATGTTTATTTGGTCACCAGTTGTGTCACACACACTCCCAGGTGAAATTATTGTATGTTATAGGTTATATGTGAAGTTAATGTGGGATTTATGAATATGAGCTCACTAATGTGTAGTTGCAGTATCAGCTTCTTGGTAATTATGTAATCTTACTGAAGTATGTATTGTACTTGATAGGAAATACTATGTATATTATCGTAACCACATATCAGGGATCTTAATTGCATAACGATCCACCATATATCATTCAGGTATCATAATATCAGAACTTTTATTCATATATATTTCCACACTATGTGTGTAATTGTCATAATAACTATACTCACTTATAATCACATTGTAAATAAAACCATAATTTATATTTAAACAACATGTAAATCATCTGTTTTGTCAGTTAAGTGTATGTCTTATGTCGCAGTGCAACATATTTAGCCATTTTGCCATTCAACCAGTCATGTGTGTAAAACCCTTGAGAGTGTATACAATCACAACACGGACCCGGTAATAATGTGACGATTCCTCCACTCACTCGTCAACCCTTTAACGCTACCATTACCTTTTGCACTTACCATGCAGAGTGAGGGTTGTTACTAGTGTTGTCGCGATTAATCGATACATCGCGATATACATCGCCAAAGCTCAGATGCATCGATGTCTGAAACAAAACATCGATGTTTTAAAAAAAATTAATCTGCTAAAGATCACCCTTTCTTATCTTATTTTGACGCAAATCGCTTACTTTTCTCATGTCTTATTTCATTTTCCAATGTTTTCTGATATTCCTTCGCTTTAAAACTGTTTTAGCTAGTCGAAATGAACCATTAATCTAAAAAAATTACTTTACTTTCATTTCACCATTACTAGAAGTTCCCGGATTTACCAGCGTACTCTTTGTTCTGTTCAGTATTTTAGTACATTAGCGTTCGGTATTTCAGTGCACTTTTCTCAGACTTTTTCTTGATGTACATCGCGATGTGCATCGATGTTTACTACTGAAAATTGCCGATGCATCGAATCGCGACAACACTAGTCGTTACATATGCATGCTTGAATCACATTCTTTATATACTATTACCATGTTTTCAGGGTTTAATTAGTTCCGCTTGTCGAAACATGCGGGACGATTAAATTTACGCATCAAAGGCAAAATGATCATGGACGTTAGACCTGGCCGGGGCCATAAGACATGTCAGATAAGAAATGAGGCACATGGTAGGTCTAATGTAACCAAACCTGTCTGGATCAGTTATCTACTCCTGACGTCGTAGATCTACGACTTCGGGACTAGGTAACTGGGCCAGACGGGTTTGGTTAGGTCTAATTTACTCGAGTCTCTAGCCAATACTTGGCTTTGGCTAGAGGTGATTTCATCTGGAATACTGTGAAGTCCATTTGAAAAAAGCTGGCCGGAGTGTTATAAATTTATTGAATATTTTAAAAATCGCCAGATAAATAAATCATCAATTAAATCGGAACCGACTCAACTCCTTGATGAGATATGACATGATTTCGTCAGGATTTCGTCTAAAATTAAAACAAAATGACTTCAAGAAAAATGGCGATATTCGAAAACTCGACGAAATGTCGGTAATGTCTGACATTAGTAACTGGCTGTAAATTCTAAGTTAGCGATCCAGAAGATGTGAACTAATACACTGATCACTTCATGTGTATTTTGGAATTTTTGGGGAGGTTATAAGACTAAAACTGGCAATTCAAATTGTGATGTGGAAAAATGGCGGACATATGATTACGACATGACCAATTGTTCATGCAGGAAATTATCTTTCCAGGAAGGCCACGATACGAAGGCCTAGATACAGTGGCCTTAGAAGAAGGTAAGGTCTAGAGTCCATTTCACTGTTTCAACTGCGTCAGTAAAAGCTAAAAAATAAGAAATCAAAATATCATTTTGCAATAATATATGGAAAAATATATTCCTATTGTACATGAATGACATTAGTATATCTTGGATTGCTTCTAGTTTGGCTTATAAAGTGTGTGGCCTCTTATATTTGGATGCTTCTCTGCCATGTTATTTTCAATAAGATTAGCATGGCTGAAATTCTTCAAATTACAAGACGGCACAGACTTATTGCACAAAAAACTAAAAAATCTGAAATATACAAATGTCATTCATGTACATTATGAATATACTTTTCCATATATTATTGCACAATGGTCTCCCAATTTCTTATTTTTGCCGTACTGACGCAATGAAGCAGTGACTCAAAATCACTTAGCCTAGTGAGCACTGTTCCAAATATCATTATCGTATTGATTCAGACCACATCCAAATAAAACTAGGTGTACGAGAGAAAGAACAATGTTCAATTCACCTACAAGACATATAAGACCAATCATAAATGACTTACCTTTGGACAGAATGATCAATAGTTGGAAAAAATGTCGTCTCTCAAATTACTTCCTGGTTGCAGCAGTGACGTCATGTTCCAGAAAATAGGCCAATGAGAAATCTCGTTTCTAGAATTTAGATATTGCAAAATCAAATTTGATTGGTTGATTATATCATCAACAGAAAAAATAAAAAAAATATTGATAATCTACCGATTTACAGCACAGGTGAGCGCTAAATTCATCTAGCAACAACATCCAGCAGTTAAAGTAAGTTATTTAATCAAGTATGTTTGAAAAATAGGCAATAAAATTGCACGAGCAATTTGTAAAATGCATGGAAAATATTATTCATTTTATTATCGCCCACTTCAAAGTTTCTAATTCTATTATTAATATTATCTATATTCCATGCTGATAATAAAGAGAATTTAACTCACTTATAGCTTGTTTATAATTCCTGTATAACATAAAACATGTCATCATTCATTGCGCAGCTCTCTACGTCGATAACTAGTAGTTGAATGCCCATGACACAACCAAATGCTATAACATGCATATTCCTTACCTTAGTCTAAGGCTTCCATTATATTGCAGCCTTATGCCATGCATAAATCCCTGTGTGTTTTGTTCTGCCTCATAAGAGGCATGTCGTGATCATTTGAAATCAACCAGTCGCCATTTTTTCACTTCACAATTTGAATTGCGAGTTTTGGTCTTATTACCTCAAAAAACTTTCAAAACACACAGGATGTGATCAGTGTATTAGTTCAAGTCTTTTAGATCGCTACTTTAACAGACATTAACAGACTTTAACGACATGTTCGTCCAGTTTTTGTTGTTGTCGTTGAACATCCGCCATTTTTCTTGGAGCCGTTGATTTAATTTTAGATGAAAGCTTGCACTCACGTCACAAAGGATAGTATTCGTTTACATTCTATTTGATGAAATATTCTCATTACGATTTTTAAAATAACATGTCAATTTATTTTTACTCCAAAAGATCGTTTTCACTAGTGCACGGTGGTCCACATGCTAGGTCTTCTAGCGAAGTAATTTGGCTAGAGACTTGAGGAACATATTCCCATCTAAATAATTTGTCTTTCAGAGAAAACTAAGATTTGTGGACATGTTTCGTTATCATGCCATCATACCCCACTGTGTCCTCTCATGGGCTTTCAACTCTAATTGAAAGCCCATGGCCCTCTGTCAGTCAAAAAAGTTTGAACCAAAACTCACCATGAAAATCAAAAGATCTCACCTGTTGAATACGCCATCTATAGAAAATGTCAAAAATTGTCACTCTGATTTTGACAGATGGAGGCAGGTCAAAAAGGTTAAATTTCTTAAAGAAAATGCACCCCAATCACATCAAATCATGTGTTAGAGTTGGTCCATATATACACTTTTCCATTAATGTACTTACCAAAATCCAACCACTGGTGATGCTAATATAATTACAATAATTGGACTATATTCTTGTTTGTAAAATGCCATCTATTTGGCGGAAGGATCAATAAGTTGTGTCGCCTTATATTTTGAATCAAATTTTTGATTAACTTTTTTTTATCAAGTTTGATTTTCACAATGAGCAGTATTTACCACAGAGAACTATTTACAATGATTCTTTGGTTCTTTAGTGCTTTTTATTCCAAACATACAAAGCGTATAGGCATGGGCTTTCATTGAATGCCCATGGTATAGGTTATACCAGAGACAAATATTAATCCAGATCAATGATCCAATATGATAAAATTTATCCGGATAAATTCTTGGATCGTACGAATTCACATGCCCAGGAGACCTCTCCCAAGATGTATAATCACCGTCACCATTTGGAATTATGACAATGGTCAGATTGTTCCACTTTCTGGTATGAAAATGGTCTTGGAAAATATGTTACCTCTCACTTTTGGTATAAGCATTGGTCTAGTGACTAGAACATATCTTTAATTTAATTGAGCTTGTTTTGGATCATTTTCCTCAAAGATCAGCATTCTTCTCGGGGCTTTAGACAGTGAATGCCTGGTCTAATATCTGGATATTTGGTATGGATTGGTCCTATATTTGGTATGGCTTTTGGGCGTTATTTTGGTTGGTATGGGAACACATTGAAATTTAACATATTTGTATGGGAATATATTGATATCTGAGGGTTCAGCCTATGACCTGATTGTTTTATACAGTAAACTCCCTGGGAACGGTATGCACTATTCAGCACTAGACCTGGATAATATTATGGGGAATCCCCTTCTAACTCCTACCACCATCTTGAAAAGAGGTATTAATGAAAAACAAAAATTTCCTCATTCTGTCGATAAACCATATGATTGGAGGTTCAACTACATGAAAAGATTCCTAAAATCCTAAATGCATTGCGGTACATGTATTATGTTACTGGTGTAAAGCGCGTGCTAAAAATTGTCAGCTTTTGAAAATAATAAAGGTCTTCATGACCACACATTAGAGTGGGTGTGGCACATCGATAAGAGGATTGATCATTTCGTATTAGCACATTGTCGCGTGATGTGTTAGTGCGTAGCGTTGATATAACCAATCATGTTTTCATTATAACCAATCATATGTTGATAGTTATCTGTGACCCCTTTAAATATATATTCTTATACGTAACAGTGCTGATAGAATAGATTTTTGCACCGAATTTGCGGGACACTCACCTGAATTTGCATGATCTTGCTGGACATTTACCAAAATTTGTGTGTGGAACATTTACATAAATTTGTGGGATTTCAAGGGACATTCACCAAATTTCGCGGGATTTTGACGGATATTCAAGGGATTTGCTTGTACTGTGCTGTATTATTACATATTGTAGAAAGTTAATGATGAACCCCGAGAGATATGAGAAGTTAGCCGCTAAGTTTCCCCACAAGATCAGTGGAGAACATTTGTTTAGGGGTGCCATGGTGCATGGTGGAATGTTGAAGGAAGGAACTCCAGAAGCCGAGGCTTATGATAACATTGACCTTACTGCTGACGACTGCATTATAGCCTCTTATGCTAAATCAGGTAAATTAGAAAAGTGGTATTTAGTATGTGTAAGATGAGAAAAAAATAATATATATTAATCTAATATTTATTGAATCTTAAATCTTATTTCAAACTTAAACCAATTGTCTGATGGCGTCAGATCATTTCAAACCTGTTCATAAATAGGATTTATTCACTGGGAAGGATTAGATATAGGGCATGTAACAAGGTAAATTATAATTTGTCCTAATTTCCTGTGGCACTTTCACAAGTCATATTGAATATGCAAAGGTATTCACCTAAATATAATTGAATATTTGTATAATATATTGCACATCAACACAGATCTCAAACTTTTTTTCTTATAGGGTAGTATATTTATTGTACTTGAAAGATAAACTAATAAGACCCCATGAAGTTTCGGCCATATTATGTAAAGTATTTTCAATCATTGCTGATATTTGTTATCAAGTTCTAGAGCCAACTAATTTTTGATTATCATCAAATTCTTGAATTGCAGGATGCCTCCTGGTATGAAAATCACGACCTGGCTAGTTTTTAGGAATGCTGAATGATCATTAATGCAAAAAAAATTATCACTGCTTTGCCTTGTTCAATATTTCACTCTCCTTCCAATGATGCTAAGGTGGAGCTCAGAAAAAATACCAAATTTGAAAAAGTCAACAGTAATTTTTTATGATGTTTGCTATATTCATTGCTGGATATGTGACATACTGTAATAGGTTGTATTATTTCATTGAGTATATTCATTAATGTTCATAGTAACTGTCATTATTATTCCATCAAATATATGACCTCAAATTTTTGCCAAAGTCTTTTAACAATGAACAGAATAAAATTTTTGGTCATATATTACGCCATAAATCATAAAATCTCAGTCTTTATTCCTTATATGTTCATAGTAAGTGTCATTATTCTTCCATCAATTTTAATCCTTCAAAGTAATTACCAGCATTTTGTAAGCATTTGCTTTCAATCTAAATTCAATGTATTGCAGGCACAACCTGGACACAGGAGATTGTTTGGTTGCTCTACAATCAAGTAAACACAGACAAAGCAAAGAAAATCGAATTGATGAATCGCTGCCCTTTTATCGAGGTCGCTTCAAGAATAGCTGTCATCAAAGCTTTGGAAAAACCAAAACTAACCAAGACCCACGTACCTTATAATGCCTTACCTAAAAGTTACCATAATCCTGAGTCGACAAGGCCTAAGGTTGTGTATGTTGCACGTAACCCAAAAGATGTCGCTGTCTCTTTTTATCATTTTTATCGGTCCAATAAAAGCTTGGGGAACTTCAATAGAGGATGGGAGGAGTTTTTCGAAATGTTTGTCGAAGGATATGTCGGGGGAGGAAGCTGGTTTGATCACATCATTCCCTGGTACAAGGCCTCTGTGCAAAATCCTGATGTGCTTTTCATGAAATATGAGGATATGAAACGTAATCCCATCGAAGAAATACAGAAAATAGCCACATTTTTAGGCAAGGATGTTAATGATGAAATGCTGGAAAAGATACATCAACATACAAAGTTTGACAGCATGAAGTCCAACCCAATGGTGAACTTTACAAATATCTCTGTCATAGACCACTCAGTATCACCATTCATGCGTAAAGGAGAAATAGGAGATTGGAAAAATTATTTCACTGTTTCTCAAGATGAGAGATTTATGAAAATGTACAATGATAAGATGGGACAGATTGATTTTGATTTGACATTTGATTTTGAATGAGTTAAGGACCACTATCTTTTAAAAGGGATCAATCTAAACCCTTTTGATGTAATAAACAATAATGATTTATAAGTCTGTACCTAAAAACTCCAATCTGATTGGTCAGTTAGATGTACACTGTATACAATTTGTTTAGATAGTAGTTACTTGTACTTTAGTCTTAAATTTCCCGTTCTTTGTCTAGATTTCACACTTCCACAGGCTTTAGTTTTATTTATTATCAGACTATCAGATTATTGTATTCATACTGTAACTGTACAGTTACAGTACTTATTTTCTAAAAGCAGATTTTTCAGCCATTAAAATGATTGTTGACCTCACTTACTTCTTGAATTCTTTTTTACTTACTTTTTTACAGTATTTTGCCAAGTCAGTTGATGATGAAGTCAACTGTTGTATATTGTTCACCTGAATTATAAAAATTATTAAAAGTAAATGTACACAGTTAAAGTTGATACCTTATGTATTGTATCTATGTTCATCCCTTACATTATTAACCACAAATAGTAATAATTGTACCGCACATACATTTTTAACACCAAATATTGAATCATTTATAAATATATTTAAAACCAAGAGTATTGTTAAAAAATATAAGATTAATAATTAAATGTTTAATGTGTCTCATAACCCCATTTGGGCTGGCTATTTTGTACAACAGGCGACACTTAATAAAATAAATAAATACATAACATCGATCAAATGAGACATTAATTCTGCAGTGAAAATTTATTTTTCTTGTCTTAAGATGTGAAGTAGTTAAGGCTGAGAGGTACACTGAAGTCTTGTATTTGAGAAACCTCCACTTATTATCCCAATGAATGAAGTTCAGTAGGGATATATATAGTAAAATATCAGTAGACATATTTTGTTCATAACTCTTAAGTGTTTGATTTCAAAGTAAAGTATTTGGTATTATTGCATGCATTTTTGATAAGATATATCTCTTTAATATTCCGCCTTACCACCAGGGGTGAGTGCAAGGGCTCAAGATAACAGGAATATCTGTAAATTTAAAGATGTCTGTTTAAAGAAGTATAGCTTTATTATACTCAAATGAAAGGGAATTTAGAGTACATTGCAGATAATTTTCTGATCCCTTCAACGTTTTTCTATATATTATACTCAAATTGAAGGAATTTCAGAGGTGATCAAAGTATGGTTAGATTGTCCTACTTCTATATACAATAACAAATATTGTATTGTCTTCATGATTTGTACCTTTGAAACTCAAAAATGACCACTCAAATGCTAAAATTGTCTGTCTTAAGTTATCTGCAAATAAGCATTGAGTAGATGGTAAATATTATATTGTGACATATACAGATTCATGAATATTTTGTTCGTTGGGATTTGCTACTCCGTGGAGTTGCAGTTTTCTAGTTTTAATCCTCTTTACATCCTTATGAACTGTACATGTATGTATTTTGTTATACATGTAGATTTATTGGAACATTGATATGAAATATATAAGAATAACATTAATGAGTTCTGTGCATCTTCTTTCCTCCCATAAAGGATGTTTAGAGAAATGGTTTTAAATGGTATGGGTGTTAGGCATTTCATATCCCTATTATAAATTGATTCCTGGTGACAATGAAGCAGTCACGAGTTTCAAAACCTGATTCACAACATCTATCAAAACTAAAAGATATTCTTCAGGTGTATAACTACCTTAAGCTTGAAGAATATAGGCCCTAAATTTCAGAATAATCATACAAATAGCCAATATCACTAAGTACAATAAAGCCTCTTCTAGCTATCTGCCTGTGAATTTTACATTGATCCCTAGTGGCTCTGTTAATTCTTTCAAATAGCTGATAATTGTTCACACCTTGTGTATTTTAAGGAGAACATATCTGCTGCCTCAACATCCAACCAGACCAACAGAATGGCCTCTGTGAGTGGGAACAACTGGTACAGGGTGCCTACCCTGATGAAGTCATGTCTTGAGGGTGTGGTACAGGGTGTCTCACACAACATGTCTGGAATCTCAACTCTTCCAAATAGTGTCAAAGATCGCCTAATGATCCTCATGAGCAAGCGTGGCTTACTCAATGATGATAATCTTGGATTGATTCTTACAAAATCTGTTGTTACATTAGATCTCAGTGAGTGTGATGTTAGTGATATTGGTTTAGAGAAAATTGCTGTATGTACGCAATTAAGAAAACTTGACCTCAACTCTGCTAAGGAAAGCAGAACCACAATTACATCTAACGGAGTTAGTGTTATTGCTGCAGCATGTCACAACCTCCAAGTGGTGTATTTACGTCGTTGTCTGACTATGACTGATCCAGGAGTCGTTGCTCTAGCCACCAACTGTCCACGTCTGCGTGAATTAAACATTGGAGGCTGTACACAAATCACTGATGTCTCCCTCCATGCACTTGCTAACTGTAAATATTTAGAATGTATCAACATTGCCAACACTGATATCACAGACAATGGAGTCATTGCACTAGCAATGGGAAGCTGTGCCAAAGCCCTCAAGGAAGTTCATATGGACCACTGTAAGAATATCACAGATGAGTCTATAGAGGGCCTCCTGCAGATGTGCCCCAGAATTAACATTCTGCTCTTCCATGCATGCCCTAAAGTCACTGAACAATCCAGGGTAGCACTAGAAGAGATGCTCCAACAATCTGGTGAATCCAAGAAAGTGAAACAGATCACGTGGACAGTATATTGAATTCCTTACTGTGCTTCTACTTAATTTGGCGGCCGTTTTATTTTGACAGATCCACCAAATTGTTAAAGTTCGCCAAATTAAGTAACCGAAAATTCAGCAGTAACTTTAGCACCATGTAAATTAGTACCATGAGTTTGTGAGTACTTTGTAATATTACAAGTCCGCCAAATTAAGTAGCTGCCAAATTTTCAAAACAGCAAATCCGCCAAAATAAGTAGCGCCAAATTAAGTAGTACAGTAACAAAGTACAATATACTATATCATTTACTGCTTGAATCATTCCGTCCGTGTGCTTTTGTGGTTTCAGCTCTTTCAATTGTTTAAAGATGAATGGTGGCTGATTCTCTTCAGGGAATATTGTAAATTAGATTAGTTTGGCACAATTTTATAACTGATTGATTAAGAATCACTACCCATTGTCAAGGCCACCATTTTGTGACTGGTATTTGGTGAAAGGATTGAAATCACCTCTGGAGTATAGAGGCAATGATATTTTATGCTGCCTCCTATTGTGTTTGTTATTAATCACATGGTTCCTTCTACAGTAATTCTGAATATCATTGATTTACCATGACCGGTATGAATTAAGAGAATTTGTCCATCTACTGCATCATTCCTGTCATTGCGAAAGTTGCTGGCTAATTATTTATTCCAATGATTTTACTAAAATTGACACAAAAGCCTGACTGCTGAAGTTCAATATATTTTTACTATTGTATGATGAAGGCCTTGTAATACCAAGTTTTTGGTTAAGAGTCATTCTACTAAGGCTATCATTAGTTTTTTGTATATATGAGTTGTGTGATATATCAATTGAGTTCATACATTTTGTGCTATCGATCTAAAAGTATCCAACATACAGAAACAAAACTAAGAGAATAAACAAATATGGATTTTATTACATGTATTTATTATATCAAATAATTAAGTATGGTTTAGATTTACAACAATTATTATTTTTATATCATTATTAATTATTATTTTATTATAGTGTCACTAGTTTTAAAAAGGACACTGTTGGTCAAATATATGGAAAATTTGGCATTTCATAAAAATCAGTATTTGTCTTTATTATGAAAACGAATGCATGGAAGTTTGCAAGAGTGATTCTTCTAAAACCCCCAGTTAAAAATGCACTCCAGGAACATTTATTAGTCTAAAGAATATGCTGTTTAACCGGAATATTTTATAGTGTACAGTAAAACCTGTCTTAGTGAGCACCTTGCTCTAGTGAACAGCAGTGTATGTAAAGTGAACACATTTCCTCAGTACATACTCCACTGAGTTCTGTATAAAACTGCCTCTGTATTAAATACCTAACTACAGTGAATACTTTTTTATTGCTCCATATGTGTTCACTGTACACAGGTTTTACATTATATCCTAAACAATCATAATACAAGTATAGCTTAAACACTACCAGTCTGTGTTGGCTTATTAGACGCTTCTACTGTCCTTCCACAGTCTCCAACAATATCTGTAATAATTCAATAATTTGTACAAATATCACATTAGTATTTTTAAGAATTTTAAACTTGGATAAACCTCTCTTTTGGAGTTATTTTTGATCATTTCATGCCCTCTCAATACTGAATTTCCCTTTTGCCACATTTTAGATAAATTTTGGGATGTTTTTTCATGCATAAGACTGTGAGGTGTGTGTAAGTACTAAGTTCTGTATATTGCTGAACCCATTGATTTTACGAATTTTAGGATTATTTAGGACGAGCATTTAGCCATTTAAGATTTTCAATTAAAAAATTCAAGTAAGTCTTAGACAGAGTTCCAAATAGCCAATGAGATAACGCTCCATTAATTTACATTGGCCAATGACAGTTACTGTTGTTATTTAGCTGTTTTCTTGGGAAGTCCAGATTGCATAATCAGTCAAGTCGAGTAACTAAGTCAACATTCGAAAATAAAAATCTTAAATATCGTACATCTTTTATTTCCAAAATAATTTGTGAGGTGGTTATTAAGATTATAATACACATTTTAACGTATTAATTTTGAGTACATCTCGAATCCATACTCAACAAAACGTTCTCCCAAAACAAGTGTTTGGTGTGTTTTCTAAAACAATATAGATGAAAGTATATATATATATTTCAAATTATATTGTTACCATTCACAAGATGACCATTAAATTGACCATGTGTTAATTTTTTAGATTTTTTATGACTGGTTTAAGAGAAACGTGTGTTCAAAAGTTCTCCATATCGATACCACTCCTTTCATTGAGTAGAAGATTACATTCGAAATCACAACTTTCAAAATATTTGTTTTAACCTTGAATTGTAAGAACTTGAAACAGGAAGTTCATTTTATATGTAAAAAAGAAAAAATACATTTATGTTTGGTTCATAATGAAAAATGACAAATAACATACATCTTTTGAAGTAGGGGTATACAGGGACATAGTGGAAATTCAGAAACTTAGGTTTACTTGACTTGACTTGACCGAATATGTTTACATAATTAGTGGGAAATAAAAATTAAATGGTGTTAAGTTACAGTCAGTATGTTGCAGTCCATTTGTTGCAGTCCGTATGTTACATTTCATCCGTTAAAGTCTGTAAGTTATTGTCCATTGCCAGACGTTTCATAAATGTAGCATTCTGATGTAATTACAAACAGAATATTCAATAAAATTTTTATGTTTTTAAGTTGATTATTAACAAATTGGAATGTGAATGGCATGCAGTGCCAAACTGAGGTCGGTGATACCATTAATCACAATTGCGTTGTTGTAATACTTCATAGCCAAACATGATGTTCAATATACAAATATACAATATACAAACTGTACACCATGTTACAGTACTGTAATGGCTACATCAGGTCAAAATAATCCATAAAATGCACTTAAACTTTACATTTTCATGATTCAATAACAAAAAATCAATCAACTTTCAAATGGATTTAATAATAGTACAATAACGTCATTTCGAAGGGGAATATAGTGAAATCATCAGCTATTTACAGATTTAAAGCATAATCAAAACAATTCACGTAACATACGAACTATTGAAAATAGAGTAAGATTGATTTGTCATGTTTTTCAAATATTACTCGTTATATTCATGGGTGAATACTACAGAGGCTTTATAATGATATATGTCATATATTCGTATTTTTCGTTTTTTGGGTACCCGTTTTTTTCGAGCGGGTACCAAGTTTGAACCCAGCATGGAGGATTTACTACCCGGTACCCGGTACCAGCTTAATCTAAACATACTTGATTTATTTTTTGAAAGATAAGGTGTCTTGGAAATTTGTTAGGCCTATAACTACTACGTGTAATGCCTAGGTCACATTTGCCCCGATTCATCGGCCGGCGCCCGGCCGATTGAGTATTCTGTTCAAAACTGAATATTGTGAACAGAATACTCAATCGGCCGATGAATATTAGCAAATGTGACCCAGGCATAACTCTTGTATTCTTTAAATAAAAAGAGTCAAGAAATGACACGATATAGATCTTTATAATGACCATAGATATAGATGAAACACTTTATTGTAAGCGTAATAAATTCAGAATACCAACGCATATCATTTTAAAATATTATGATAAAATTAACCAGGTACTAGTATTCACACCGGAATAGCCTGACAACGGTAAAGTCAGATACCGTTGTCACAAAATTATGGTTTACCCAGTGTCATGTTGTGTTGAACTTTCAAGCACTTGAAAATTTTAGATTAATGATTTTAAATCGTGGTCAATTATATACCTATATGTAGGCGTCACGACCACGAATATGTACAAATGTTATTATGTTTTAATGAAATAAATTTCAAATAAAAAAAGAGTTGAAGCGACTGTTATGTCCACCATTTGTGACAACGGTATCTGACTTTATCGTTGTCAGGGTATTCCGGTGTGGTATTGGCTCATTTTGACATGACACGTTAGAAACTCCTTCTCGGGTAGTGGCTCTATTATTTTGAGTTCACATTTCAATAAGACAGGAATCTCTTTTTGAGCAAATCCGATACTGTAACCGGTATTTATCAAAAAGTACATTTTTATTACTAAAAATTAGTGGCTATTTTGAAATTATTGCCATATTGGATTATCCTTCTTGAGAAAAATTTCTAAGCTCACAAGGCACCAGCCTACAAAATTTAAATCAAATCCGTCAAACCATTTGAGATATCATACAGAGACAAAAGGATGGACGGACAGATAGGATACTTGCCCGGAGTACTTGACGCACAAAATATCTAGAGGAGGGTTAAATATGATTTACGAGGTAACAAAGTCAAGTACAAGCGCCAAAAGAACTTTGGTCTCTTCAAGGAGTTCCATATGTTACTCAGACATTATTTATATAGTAATGGAGCAATTGACACGCTATTTTCAGATAGTTCAATGACATGAATGTGACCGTGTCAAAAAAATATATGTCAATATACAATACTAGTACATGTTAGTCTCGTTTGTTCTTTTTAAAATTCCTCGAGAAAATACTAATGCTCTTCTTGACGATAATAATTAGAATAATTGCCATAGCAACGATGATGGCTGCCACTAAAGCTGTGATATCAAGCAAGAAGTACTGGAAGAAATTCAATGCATTCGCACCTTGAGATCGTAAGTGGGGTGCACCCTTGTGACGTATAACATATTCAGCCCAGTAGACGACTTTATCCTTTGGTGGAATTGGTTGATCATGGTATATAGCTGCAGCTTTTGCGGCATTCTCCTTGTATGTCTTGTTCTTAATTACTTCCTCCATCGCGCGCTTGAGTTTTTCACTTGTTATTCCTTCCAAATGTACAGTTTGACCAGCTTTTACTCGTTCGGTCAGTTTCTGGCAGTAGTAAGGTTGATCCCAAAAGAAAGGTACGCCAACGACGGGAACAGCATAGTGCAGAGCTTGAAAACTGGACGAGGCACCACATTGGGTCACAAACACCTTAGTTGCAGGGTGGTTCAACAGGCTTTCTTGTGGTATCCATTTGCTCACGTAAGTGTTCTTTCCAATACCTTCTGGTGTAGGACCTTCATAACTCCATATCACAGTTTGTGGCATAGCGGCAAATGCTTTGGCAAATATGGTACGAAGCTCTGGCCATAGTTTACGGAACATTGATCCGAAACTGACAACAATAATTCCATTTTTACCAGCTCTCTCAATGATGTCTTTGTACTGATGACCCAAAGATTTGGGGGTTTCAAGGAAAAATCCCTCAAGAGAAATAACATGTGGCATGAGTGGTAGTGGGTAGTGTAGTACATCATTCCTGTTCATAAAGATCAACGATACAGTTTTTTCCGCGTCCTTTATGTTATCACAGGCCTCCCCGTAGCCATGTTGTCTACACAGCCCAATGCTTTTGCTGAAAATATTTTCATTCACTCTAAGAAGTTTATAGTACTGCCAAACATTGTATACTCTTTCAGAGAATGACAAGGCATCTGAGTATGGCTCCACGAAAGCTGGGACTAACGCAAGATTGAATCGTTGCACAAGATTTGCGCCAAATGTCATTGGTCCCCAGTTCGAATACAGAATCAATGGAACGTCAAAACTCGCAGCTACAATCCTTGAGTAGTAAACATTTTCATCACTTACTATCAGGTCGAAGTTTGCAGTGGAAATCCTTTTCCAAACAATGTCATCTTCTAAAGGATAGGAGATTATTACATCAAATACGGAACTAATATATTCAAGCGCATCCACTCCGTTCTTCTTCATCATACCTTTTAACCAGTCCTGATTCAAAGTATCCATGTCTTTAGATGGATCAACGGGTGGCTTTTTGTAGTGTATCACATTGAATGTTTTATTCATAGTATTTGTCTCTGCCAATTTATACAAAGCGTCAACTTCAAGTTGATCAGAAAACAACAGTGTTACTTCATGTCCAGCATTCATCAAAAGCTTTCCTATTTGTATCATATTTTTCAACCTGCTATTGTAGCCAGCATCTACCGGAGTCACTAGAATTTTACTAGATTCACATAAAGACGAACATAGTATGACAATTCTCACAAACTTTATGAAATCCATCTTTCTGTTTTGTGAAGACTAAAGTTCAATTACCGATTGCATTAATCTAGTTGAAAGCCCATGATTAAACTAGTAGTGGAGTCAGATAAGTGTTCAATTGCACATGCTATATATATAGCATCATTTTTTGACATAAGTATTATTAATACATATATTTTTGATATCTAACGAAGTGGTGTTGAAAAGTGGCCCCATTTGATTATAACAGGCCTTGGAAATTTTGGACATTTACATTGAGCCCCATGTTAATTTATCAATCTTCAAAAGATCCCCTGCAGTACAGTTTTAGAGTGATAAAGCCCATATTCCCAGGATGTTACAGTAGCATGATTATCTTCAAAATAAATGGCTATCAATGTGGCTTTACTTAAGTGTCCTTTTCTCAAAAATTCTACGGTGAAATTTTCTAATATTGCAGATTTCTATAGTTAATATATTGATTTTAAAGAAATCAAACAGGTACATTTCTGAAAATTTCTTGTTTTTTATATATTTAGCTGTTAAAAACTATAAAAACCTATATTGAGCCCCATGTTAATTTACCAATCTTCAAAAGACCCCATACAGGGCAGTTTTAGAGTAATTATGCCAATTCTCCTAATACGTTACAATAACATGATTATCTTCAAAATAAGAAGGGTTAAATTTTTTCTTTTACCTAGTTCCAAAGATATTTGCGTTTGAATTTTGAAAATTCTCCATTGGCTGCCATTATAAACGGCTATCAATATGGCTTTACTAAATTGTCCTTTTCTCAAAAAGTCCACAGTGAAATTTTCTAATATTGCAGATTCGTATAGTTAATATATTGATTTAAAAAAAATCAAACGGGTACATTTCTGAAAATTTCTTATTTTTGATATATCTAGCCGTTAAAAACTATAAAAACCTATATTGAGCCCCATGATAATTTATCAATCTTCAAAAGGTCCCTTGCAGAACAGTTCAAAAGTGATAAGGGCCATACTCCTAGGATATAACAATAACACTATTATTTTCAAAATAAGAAGGTATGACTTCTCTTTGCCTAGTTCCAAAGATATGTGCTTTTGAATTTTCGAAATTCCCCATTGGCTGCCATTATAAACCGCTATCAATTAATAGCTTTACTAAAGTGTCCATTTCTCAGAAATTCCACTATGGAATATTCTAGTATCGTATATTTCGATAGTAGAGTTAATATATATATATATATATATTGATTTAAAAAATCAAACGGGCACATTTCTGATAAATTCTTATTTTTAATATATTCAGCTGTTAAAAACTCCCCCTGTAGAGCAGTTCAAAAGTGATGGAGCCATATTCCAAGGATGTTGCAATAACATGACTTTATCCAAAACAACTAAGTTCCAGAGATATTGGCGTTGAAATATTGGAAATCCCCATTGGATGCCATTATAAACCGCTATCATTATGACTTTACTGAAGTCTCCTTTTCGCAAAACGTCCACTGTGGAATTTTTAATATTGTACATTTCTATAGTTAATATATTAATTAAAAAAAATCAAACAGGCACATTTCTGAAAAATTCTTATTTTAAATATAATATATAATCTTCAAAAGACCCCCCCCCCCCCCTACAGAGCAGTTCAAAAGCGATGAAGCCCTTATTCCTAGGATGTTACAATAACACGATTATCTTCAAAATATGAAGGATTAAATTTTTTCTTTGACCTATTTCCAAAGATATTGACGTTTGCATTTTGGAAAAACCCCATTAGTTGCCATTATAAACGGTATCAATTTGGCTTAAGTAAAGCGTCTTTTCTCAAAAACTCCACTATGGAATTTTCTAATATTGTACATTTCTATTGATTTTTAACGCAGGCAGATTTCTGAATTGTTTTACTTTCACAGTGTAAATGCCCAAAATTTTCAAGGCCTGTTATTATCAAATGGGGCCACTTTTCAACACCACTTCGTTAGATATCAAAAATATATGTAGTAGTGATTCTTATGTCAGAAAATAGTGCTATATATATAGCATGTGCAATTCTAGGGTTTTATTGCCTTAATTGACTCCACTATAGGCTGTTCATGCTACCTTGTAAAAGATCACGTAGACATGTTGTGTATTGTGATATAATATATATACAATATCACTATTCAACATATACCTCTTAACAAATCAAAAAATGACGCTTCTTGTCCCAGGGTTTAAATATATCATTCGAAAGGTGAAAGTGTCAGGAAAAGGGATATTTTAACATTGTGGAATTCGGCTAGCTACAAAGTTTTATTAATTGATGCTTTCCAAAGCGGAGAATAGTAAATTTTTTGAAGATGACATTTGACCTTAAATTCAAACATGCTGTGCGGTTGCCATTTTACTTAAACGATCTTTTTACAGAAAACCAATATATAACACCGAGTTGAAATGACAACTAGACATATCAAATTGAACAAGTTCAATTCAAGACTCCAGATTTCAGACTTTTTAAAGCTTGGTTATCCAGAATAAGATGAGTCATCCAAAATAACCCGAGACAACCAGAATAGACATTGAGAGGTAGGTTAGGTAGGTTTCCTTCGACTCTATTGACTAAACATTGGGATACAATCACACTGGTCATGGGCGTAGCCAGGGGGATGGGTGCGAACCCCCCCCCCCAAACCAATAAAAAAACATTAGATAGACAAAGACATCAAAAGTGCTTCAAAACGCATTTATTTGAAAATTCTAGCTCAATTTTGAAGGAAGTTTTTTGTAAAATTCAAAACAAATCTTTAAAAATAAAATGTTTCGTCCACTAATGCCACAATCGCACCCCCTGACTGGAGACCGAAAAAAATTGATGATCACACCCCCTGACCGAAAGCTGGCTACGCCCGTGCTGGCTTTTCAAGATTTCAAAACGTCATAGAATCACGGTCCACATCCCGCTCCGTATGTTATGGTATGTTCGTGTGCTAGAATACGATCCCTTCGTGAGGCAAAGAGGCCAAAATTGACAAAATATCAGGAAAGGTAGGAAACAGAGCAAATTTTGATATTTTGTGAATGGTCACCTAGGCAATATAATAAACTATGAATTCATGAAGAATGCAAGAAAAAATAGCAAGGCTTCATAGGTGAAAATAGGTCGAACATAGACTTTTCACGACAGAATACACTTCAATTGCAATAAGTCTTTTATATTAGTAGTACCGCATACATCTCTAATTTCGTGCTATTTATAAAAAGCATGCATTAATGTGTGCGATTGATAAACAAATATAACGTAATGCATCACAAAAGTACATGAAAATGTGGTTTAAAATTCGAATAGAAGGATCCGACCCTACCACAGCTAGGATCCGACTAAGTCGTGTGAGGATAATTTGGGGACTCCGACCATGTCCTGTTAATAGTTCCATCTTTTCGTGTGAAAGAATACTCTAATAATGCAACTTAACTCCGAATTTCCTCTCTATAGAGGCGGTATGGTCGGATCTTGTGCACACGAACGGCCCATATCATACGGTGCGGGATGTGGACCGTGTAGAATCTTAACCGGAAGTCAAATTTCATTTCTGATTTCAGATTCGAACTCCTGAGAAAATTTCTCTCTAATTTCATAACTCAGACGTTGAATTTGGAGAACTTTATTAAAGTGTCGTGTCAGAACCGTAAAGATAAGGAAAACTATAAATTTGACCTAGGTCTTTTTGTGTCCAAAGGATAGGTACATGTATCGATATGGCGAATTGAATTCAACATTGTTTTTCACTCAAACCAATTATTGAAAACACTCTGTAAAACAGTGTCCTTTATGTAATGGTCACTGACTCACAACGATTTAATGCGAAAATTATATATATATTTTTTTTATTATTCTTTTTGTGAATAATTTTTGTTCTTTAGTGTAATTGGTTTTTGTTCCTTTCTACCAATTCTTTAGAATAAAATGAAAGATCTTCCCTAACCTTGCTGGAACAAAATAGAATGAACAGCAATACTTTTTTCAAAATCATCTATAGCTTTCAGAAGTTTAAAATCTGACTTCAGATTTAAGATTTAATCTTCAATTAAGCTTTCAAGGTCAAATAAAGGTTGGCGATCGACGGGTGGCGTCTGTAACAAATTCTTACAACTTCCAATAATTTAACAAATACTGTTTAGACTGACTTCAAGTTTTGTCAAAATCATCTACAGGTTTTCAGAATTTCAAACCTGACCTAAGATTTAAGGTTTGACCAAAATGATATTTTCAAAGTCAAAATACAGGGTGGGCCAAAAAACCACCCCCTAGCCATTAATTCTGATAAATATTTATTTTTTAACATGTACACCAACAATGATATATCATTTTAAAGATAATTTAATTTGCAACAAAATGATATATAACAGAACAGTTTTCAACAACCCTGGCTCAAGATATAACCATTTATGTGACATGGGGGTCAAAAAACACCTTTTCAATTTTCATCGATTTTGCGAACAATAGCCTATTTCTACCAAATTTTACTGTTCAGTTAAAAATTGCAACATTGTCACGAGTCTTTCATTATTGGATATTATATATTGTTTTTATTCAGGTTTTGAACCATACATGCTCAATAAACATGTGTATGCTTATAAAACCAATTCATTTCTTCTTCAGTCTGTCCCAATATGGCTCAATAGACCCACCCCGACCCATTCTCTGATCGGATTATTCGCTTAAGATGCGCAAGCCATTGGTTGATGGCATAATTGATGGATGTATGCGGAAGTACCATTCAACTGCTAGTTATTCTTTCTTTAAGTTCGTCTACATCCCTGATATAGGCTGGCTGTATTTAAATACCAACTTTTCTAGATGCCCCCAGGTATGGTAATCAACATTATTGGCATCTGGACTGCCAGTAAGCCATTTGTCCGGGCTAGAGATGGCGTCATTTCGAATCTCCAAAAACTCAAGGGTAGTATTGGACCTGTGTGATGAAGCACTTTCCTATCAGAAAATGAAATTTCTTTCACATGTTTTTTATATCCTTGAGGAGTCATTTTTAACATCTCATGTCATAAACATTCAGAGTATATATATTTTTGCTCCTAGTTCAACAAAAACAGGGCCTGCATGTT